TGTTGGCTGGGGCTTTTGGAACGCAGCGGTGCGCACAGCATCGTGCGGTGTACGTATAATAATTTGGTCACGAATCATATCATCCACGAAATTGTGCAAACAATTCTGGGCTGAGCACGAAAAGTTACACTCTCTTGCCAATCCGCGGAGATCGGCTACCCACTCTCTGTATGATTGATGTGGCTTCATTTCCCTTTTGAAAAAATCGTAACGTGCAGCGATTACATGTCGTTTCGACTGGAAATGATCCGTTAGTTTTTTCGTTAAATTTTCGAAAGATTGTTCTTGTACTTTCGTGTTACCGAAAAGATTTTTTAGCAGCTCAAAATTTTCTGTGCCAATCCAAGACAAGAAAAATGATTTTTGTTTTTCACTGCACTGAACTGAATATGCTAAAAAATGTTGGTTAAGTTGTTCTAAGTACGATTCCCAGGTTTGCTGTTCTTTCGAAAATTTGTGAAATACTGGAACAACGTTGTGATTTCTTTCAGATACATCGGCAGTACCTTGTTTTTGGAACATTGAGTCCATCCACTCACGTTGTTGTTTCAGTAAATTTTTTGAGAACTCTTGTTGTTCTTTAAGCAATTGCTTATAAATTTCACTTTCGCCCGGCATGATTGTATGTAAAATTGAACGGTACGAAATAAGCGTGAAAGCGATTGATTAATTGCAGATTTTTATCCTCGTCGCCAACTGAAGTAAATACAACCGACAAGATTGACAGTTTATATTTAACTGAATTTTGTTTACATTTCATTATTTAAGATTGTTTAAACTAATGCAAAACATACTAGATTATAACAAGGTTCATTTGAGAACCAGAATCCAGAATGGCTCTGCATTCAATTGCTTCGCCAGTATTTGAATTAATATTGACCTTGGCGGTCCCAAGCAACACATATGGTTTTGTTGACAGTGCTGTAGTTAAAACAGCAGCAGCTTCTTCTTGATTGGAGGAAGTGGTCTTCTTGGATACAGTCGCGTTGATGTTGGTGAATTCAGGTGCGCCAGTTGTTGGCGCCTTTACATTGTATTGCAGATGAAGTAACGTGTTGTGCGCTTTATTGCATTTGACGCAATGCCTGCTGTTGCAATCACTTGTTCTATGTCCGCTGCGAAGACAATTGAAACACAATTTCAACCGTTGTGCTGCGGAGACACGATCAGGAACTGATAATGCCAAGAACTTGTCACACTGGTAAATTTGATGGCCATTGAGGTGACACATCTTGCAAGATAACGTATTGTTTGTAGTTACTGTTGCTGTCACTACTTTGACTGCTGGTTGATTTGGATAGACACTTTCCAATGATTGAAATCGCTTTTCCAGAAATAGCAGAAAATCATCAATTGATTGTAATTCGCGCGGATGCACTAGAGACTGTTCATATAGCAGTCTAGTTTGTTTATCTAATTTTTGAGTTAATACATATAACAACATTGGACCCCAGGAACTGGTGTCAATGCCCAAATTGTTTAATGCCAATAACCCTTCCAGTGTACAGTCATGTATGACCCGAATGTCATTCGCTGCTGAACCCTTCACAGTTGCTTGATCCATGAGTTTCTGGATGATGGACGAAACAATAATTCTTTTATTGTCATACCGTTCCTTCAATATCTGCCATGCTGTTGCATAGTTTTGATTGGTTAGAGCTAGATGTGCTACTAATCCTGCTGCATCTCCAGTTAAATGATTTTTTAAATACCACATCTTCTGTGCGTCTGGCAACTGAGTGTTGTGGATCATTTCTGTGAACAAGTTGTCGAACTCCATCCACTTGGTATATGTTCCGTCAAACTTCGGAATTGTTATGTTAGGTAACCTAACTTGCACCTTTTCCGCAACGAGAGGCGGTTGCTGTTGATTTGATGTCACCTTTGATGTTAGTGACACCAGCACATTTTGAACTTCTTCTTCTAGTTCAATATATTTCTGGATATCATATCCAACTCCTATTGGATTGGAATGTATTTCCCAGATTTTAAAATTAACGGCTTCAATTTCTTGCCATAATTTGTTAATTCTGTCAATATTTACTTGGTAATATGACAGAGGCTGTTGCTCGTATATGCGCTTGACGCCATTGATGAGCCGCAATAATGAACATGATATTGCGCGTTGTTTGTTGATGAGCCCTTGAATCTGTGGATCAGGGCCGCACGCTGGATCATCTGTGTGTCCAACATTAAATCTTGATGTTGATGGAACAGTTACAGGCTCGACTATTTCTTCTTGGTTGAATTGTTGAATGGCCGTTTCAAATTGTCGGCTGTACTGTTTGTAAATATTCAGGATCTCTTGATAATATTCCTTTTTTATGTAGTCGTGTCCGACTGGAATTGAATCAAGACTCTGAATTTTACTGTCGACTTCATCGAAGGACTCCCACGCTGAGTTTAAACGCTTCAGTCGTTCTTCATAGTAGGCCTGGGTTTTCCTTGCCTGACCATCCTTCTTGAAGTTTCTTATGATGTTCTGGATTTCAGCACCTGTTTCAGCCTGTTGGTTGATAAGGTCCTCCATGGTCACCAGAAAATTGATTGTTGAAATGTTGATACGTGTATGTCACCAAATGACAACAATGATGCGTGTATGTCCACAAATGACAATACTGCTGCGTGAATGACAATACTGATGCGTGATAGATCACGTGTATGCCCACAAATGACAATACTGATGCGTGATATCACGTGTATGTCCACTGAATGACAACAATGATGCGTGTATGTCCACAAATGACAATACTGCTGCGTGAATGACAATACTGATGCGTGATAGATCACGTGTATGTCCACAAATGACAATACTGATGCGTGATATCACGTGTATGTCCACTGAATGACAACAATGATGCGTGTATGTCCACAAATGACAATACTGATGCGCGATAGATCACGTGTATGTCCACAAATGACAATACTGATGCGTGATATCACGTGTATGTCCACTGATGCGTGATAAATCACGTCGGGGTCACCAAAAATGTTATGATCCGTACCTAGTTTGATACGGACTGAAGCTAATCCGGCACTTGAACCAGCTTAGCTTTTCACGATATGTTATCCTCCGTATCTAGTCTGATACGGATTCACTAATCCGGCACTTTAACCAGCTTAGTAATTCACTTACGTAATCCGGCACATGAACCAGTTACGTAATTTATAGATATCTAGATATATATGTAAATATATATATAGATATTTATTTGTTTATTTTATTTTTATTATTGATTTTCAAATTCGGCACATAAACCGACTTTGCTCAAGGTTCTTTTAGGCACTTAAACCAAAAGAAAACACTTGGTTGTATTCAGGTTGTTAAATTGAATCAAGTTTATTAAAAATGTTGTGCTTTTATACAAAATTCTTAACACTAAGCTTATGGTAAAGGAGGAAATGCACCCAGTTCCCACGATTTGTTATCCGATGGACTTTGAACATTCAAGGCCAAGGGCATTCGTGGGAAATATGTGCATTACCTATGCTTATACTATTTAATGCAACCAGCAAGCTGATATATGTATTTTGCCATATATCAACCTGCTTTACAAATTTGGTGACTTAAATGTGTTATCACTGAAGCCATGCGCCAACTCATATTGCACCTGTGGGAACAACAGAATTGTCGCAGCGGCTTGCCTATTGCTGCAACTCACAACGAACACACGATAAAGAAAATGAACATAATGCTTATCAACCTTGCACAGTGGCGTGTGAAGATGATAATGTTACGTCTGGCACGCTGCTAGCGTGCGAATATTTAGTTGTGAGAGCCAGCAACATTGCTAAATGTTTGATAACACAAATAAACACCAACAACAAAAACAACATAAGAACTAATTTAGGTACTTATGTACACATATAATTAATGCACTAATAAGAATACAATTATAATAATTGACAATAATAATACAATAATAAGAAAACAATTATAATAATTGATACAATGATAATAGATTTAATATGAAACTTAACAGTCGTCGGCGTAAGCAAGGAGCTGGACACATTTGTAGAATATTGTTCCATTACGATGAACACTTGCCCTACGCATGATCACTTCCATGACGAAATTGAAGAGGTCACATGATAAGGGATCACCTTGTCTGAAGCCTCGCACGGTATCAAAAGGTTCAGAGAGACTCGATCCTACCTTGACGGAGCTACGGGTATTGCTCAGCGTCATTCTGCAAAGTCGAATTAATTTTGCAGGGAAACCAGCTCAGACATTGCGGCGTAAATGCGATCCCTAATGGGGCTTGTTGAATATTTGTTTATATATATGAATATTTTGTTGTTATTAATTTTGTATGAATAATTTGTTATTTTTATTTGTATTGTATTAATTGTGTTAAATATATTTGGTGTAAAAAATAACGTTGTCAATGCAATGCCCAAAATACGTCATACGCTTCTGTTGGCACATGAAAACAAAAGCGTCAAATTTCGTCTGCAAGAAAATGCACTCTTGCAGTTTGCAATAAGTTCATTGTTTGGCATGCATGGTCAAGGTTATTTTAGTTAATTTATTTGTTGTAAATTAATTATCAATTTTAAATAAAAGGCACAATTGAATTTTTGACAATTCAATTGATGCGAAGCCACATTCGTTATCGATTCTTTTTTGTTCGTTCTAATAGCTTGTAGATTTGGTTCAAGTACCCAATTTACACCATATAAATACCTGACTACTGGATTCAAGTGTTCAGTAATCAGGATAATTTAGGACAATCGTCAAATCACTGGGTTCAAGTGCTCAGTGGTTCTCGTGTTCAAATAAGTCAACATAAGTACTGGATTTAAGAGTTCAGTACTTGCAAACAGTTGATTTCAACTTTTGATTCAGCGTGTGATCATACATTTTGGTGTGATCGTACAGGGCTATCGAAAGCTGCTTTATAATCGACAAAAAGGTGATGAGTGTCGATGTTATGTTCGTGGGCTTTTTCCAGGATTTGTCGCAGTGTGAATATCTGATCAATGGTGGAGCGACCAGGTCAAAAGCCGCACTGATAAGGTCCAATCAGTGAGTTGGCATGTGACTTCAACCTTTCACATAGTACAGTTGAAAGAATCTTGTACGCGACAGGTATTAGGCTAATCCCGCGATAGTTGGCGCAAACCGTCGGGTCACATTTTTTCAAGACAGGACAAAGGGTACTGAGATTCCAATCGCTGGGCATACTTTCATCTAACAATATTCTGCAGATAAGATGATGCATGCACCCTATCAGCATATTGCCGCCGGCCTTAAACAATTCAGCAGGCAGGCCATCTGCGCCTGCCGCTTTGTTGTTCTTAAGTCGCTGTATAGCAACACACACTTCGTTATGGCTATGTGGTGGAATTTCAACGTCATCATTTTCGATTGGGGATACAGAGGGCATTTCTTCAATGGCAGAGTTGATGTTATCATCGCCAGATAGTAGTTTGGAGAAATGCTCCTTCCATACTTTCAGTACATTCTGCGTATCTGTAACCAGATTACTATTTTCGTCCTTACAGGTTGATGCACCAGGCTTAAAACCTTGAGTCAGACGGTTGACTTTTCGATAAAATTTACTACCATCATTCCTATTTCTACACACTTCGATTTTCTCTTGCTCACGCCTTTCTTGATCTCGTTTCTTCCGTCTGAATAGGCACCTCCCTACCTTCCTCATCTCCCGATATTGTTCATGCACGGTTCGCGTTGCTGCTGACTGCAGGGTCCTTTTATAGGCCGCGTTCTTCGCAGCAGTAGCTTGGCGACATTCTTCGTCGTACCATTGGTTTCGTCGTGGGGGACGTTGGAAACCAAGGACATCTTCCGCTGTTGTGTGTAGGGAGTGAGAGATATGTCCCCATTGTCTACCGGGATTATCGGGACGGGAGGGTTGGTTGTTTAATCGGCTAGAGAGCTGAGCAGCGAAGACTTCGGTTGTCTCTCTTGATCGCAGCTTACTAACGTCTAGTTTTTTCTGAACATTGGAGCGTACAGTGTTTTCGGTACTAAGCCGCATGCGTACCTTGGCTACGACAAGGTAGTGATCTGAGTCGATGTTTGGACCACGGAATGAACGTATGTCCAGCACACTAGAAGCGTGCCTTGCGTCAATCACGAAGTGATCAATCTGGTTTCGTGTTGCTTGATCGGAAGATAGCCACGTTGCCTTGTGAACATCACGGTGTGGGAATCTGGTGCTACATACATACATACATACATATTTCGCGCCGCAGCGAAATCAATTAGCCTTAGACCGTTGTTGGAGGTTGAATTATGGAGGCTTCCATAAGTCTTTGGTCCGACAGTTGGACCAAAGACTTCTTCTCTTCCGACCTTTGCATTAAAATCCCCGAGAACAATTTTAACGTCGTGGGCGGGACTGCGGTCATAAATTTCCTCGAGTCTCGCGTAGAAGGTATCTTTGGTCAAGTCGTCCTTTTCTTCTCTCGGTGTGTGAGCGCAGATTAACGTGATGTTAAAAAATGTTGCCTTGACATGGAGTGTGGCAAGCCTTTCGTTCACCGGTGTGAATCGATGGACTAATTTTAATAATCTCTTGCTTACCATAAAACCGCATCCAAATTCACGTCTATTTGCATGGCAGCTGTAGTATACATCACAGTTTGCTCTTTTAGAGCAGCCTTGTCCTGTCCATCGCATTTCTTGGATGGCGGTGACGTCAGCCTTACATTTATTGAGGGCTTCCGCCAGTTGGATAGAGGCACCTTCCCTATAGAGGGTCCGGACATTCCAGGTGCATATCCGTAACTCATAGTCCTTTAATCGTGTGCATTGGTCGTCAACGTTATTCGATTTCCAGTTCCGCGGCACTCTTGCATCCTTCATTGGTGGCTGATTTAACGTGACGGGTACCAAACCCTGTGCACAACCCAAATTTAAAGTCCTGGGGATGAGACTCGCCGTACGCACTAATAGTTCATTACCCAGCGGGTGCCAGGTAACTATTTAGGGGTGCCACGAGGAGGCTGTGCGACAACTTGGATTGAGGACAACAAGAATTGCGCTGGCATTTTCCGTGTTAAATGCAATCAGACACGTTGCCTTGTGTACTCGCTCCCAGGGGCACGCGGCCCTCCCCCCCTATAGCCCTTTCAATTTCATCGACAATGCGGTTACTTGATCTATAGTCGAATGCTTACTACGAAAACCAAATTGATGGTTTGGTATTAGCTTTTCGGATTCTATTATAGGTCTCTTGTAGAATAGCTTTTCGAATGGACCTTCGAAATGGTTGGTAAAATTTAAATTGGTCTATATGACGATATGCATTCTAGCGGCTTACCAGCTTTTGGAATCATTTTTACCTATACGATCTTCCATAGGCTAGGAATATATTTTGGATTTATTGCTGCATTGAATTGAATTAATAGTTTACGAACAGCTTTATCTAGTACCTGCTTTAAAACTTCGGATGTTATAAGGTCAAAGACAGGCGCCTTTTTATTTTTCAAGTCTTTTATTGCTTTTATCGCGTTTTGTTATTCGATCGATTTGCTGGTTTCTACTCTCTGTGACAATCAGTAATTCATCACACTGTAACACTTCGTTCAATAATGTGTGTGACTAACTAGTTAAAACACATTTTTTTTTGCTAAAATTCGTTTTTATTCATCAACATAGTCCCCTTTCAGGGAGATACAATCATTCCAACGCTTTTGCAATCTTTCGATACCGCCTTTGTAAAACGATTTTTCTTTGCCTTCAAAATAGGCGTTAGTTTTGGCGATTACTTCATCATTTGAGCCAAATCTCTTACCACGGAGCATCTTTTTGAGGTCTGCGAAGAGCCAGTAGTCGCTGGGCGCCAGATCTGGAGAATACGGTGGGTGCGGCAGCAATTCGTAGCTCAATTCGATCAATTTTGCCATCATTTTCATCGACTTGTGATACGGTGCATTGTCTTGGTGGAACAAAACTGTTTTCTTCGCCATATGAGGCCGTTTCTTTGGGATTTCGTCTTT